AGGAATAGAGATCTCTGGATCTGTATACCCCCAATCAAAAGGTGGGAGGAATCTTGTAAAAACATGCTTGTAAAAGTTGCAAAAGTACAGGGCATCGTCTAACCTAATAAAATGCAGTGTCTGGAAACTGAGGTATGGAGTGATAGAAGTATACAGGAAAGCCCAAAGTGAGATACTTAACAGTCTTGCTGGATCAGACCGGTAGTCCGTCTAGCCCACACAGTGACCAACCAGCTGTCCTTAAGAACATAAGAGAAGCCAATGTTGGATCAGGCAAATGGCCCATTCAGTCCAGCCCTCTGTCACACAGTGGCCAAAAATACCAAGGTGCCATCAGGAGACCCGGCAGTGGGGCCAGGACACTAGAAGCCCTCCCACTGTTGCCCCCCTCCAGCATCTAGAATACAAAGCATCACTTGCCCCAGACCCTGAGTCCCTATCTATACCTTGTGGCTAATAGCCACTGATGAACCTCTGCTCCATATGCTTATCCAATTCCCTCTTGTCCGGGAGAACCAGTTAAACAAAACACAGAAACCTACTAGCGCTGATAAAGATTTACTGCCTCTGGATATGGAAGTTCCTTTCCAGTCACCCCCACTGGCAGCCATTGATAGACCCTCCCTGCGTCTTTCTAATGCCCCTTTAGGGATCAACAGTAGACACCCCCTTCGCACCAAAGGAATGAATTCCTCCCTGGTTCCCAGAATACATAGCTTAAGATACCGACGAGGCTATGTTCTCTGAGCACAGCCACCCGGAAAACAAGACTGATTTTCGCCGGAGCGGCTTGATTCGCTTCACGCCTCCATATGGCACAGCGAATCGTTTCTAGGAAAAAAAAAAAAGTAGAATGCGATAACTAAGACATTTTCCCGGAAATTGACCATCTGGTCAATTTCTTGCCAACAGAATTAAAGGAAACATAATGAGGATTCTTGAAAAGTTAATTGAGATATTTTTTAAAGTTCCTGGCTCTCGGACAACAGCGAACTGAGAAGACCCCTTTTAAGCAGAGTCGCAGCTCTTTTAGATGAGATTGTGGGTGGCTCTGAAAAGAGCCTTTGGGTTCAGAAGAGAGAAGCGCGTCCTGTTCGGTTAAAAGTGTTCCATTATTTGCCTTTCGCCTTGTGGCTCTCGGTCTTCTTGGGCAGTAGGACAGCCTGGATGTTGGGCAGGACGCCTCCCTGGGCGATGGTCACTTTCCCCAGGAGTTTGTTCAGCTCCTCGTCGTTGCGGATGGCCAGCTGCAAGTGGCGCGGGATGATGCGGGTCTTCTTGTTGTCCCGAGCCGCGTTGCCGGCCAACTCCAAGATCTCCGCCGTCAGGTACTCCAGCACGGCCGCCAGATACACGGGCGCCCCGGCGCCGACCCGCTCGGCGTAGTTGCCCTTGCGGAGGAGTCGGTGGACGCGGCCGACGGGGAACTGGAGTCCGGCCCGAGAGGAGCGAGACTTGGCCTTCGCCCGCGCCTTGCCGCCTTGCTTGCCGCGACCAGACATTACGGCGCTGTTTACTCTCAGCAGAAACCTTGCCCAGCAACAAAAAAAACAAAACCGCGAGTGATTAGCAAGCGCAGGAAAGGGGGCTTTTATGCCTTCCTGATACCTGGGAAACGGCACTTTTGATTGGCTGCATCGGGAGTTAGGTCTTTTGTAGCCAATGAGAAACCGGATCTCTCAGCGCCACCAACCCCAGGAGAAGATGCTGCGCCCGTCCAATCGCGAGCGGGGCCTCACAGTCCCTTAATTTGCATGTGCGCGCGCAGTGGCACTGACGTCAGAAAGCAAGGGATCCAATGGCATCGCAAGAACTTCGATGCCCTCATTTGCATAAAGGAGCTTTAAATAGAGGCACGGCGGAGTCGCCCTTCAGTCGCGTTCTCCTTGGGAGTGGTTTGAGAGCTAGAGGAAGTCGTCTCGCTGCTGTCGCGTGTTTGTGTGGTTGGAAGCGTCCCGCCGAGATGCCTGAGCCAGCTAAATCCGCTCCTGCGCCCAAGAAGGGCTCCAAGAAAGCCGTGACCAAGACCCAGAAGAAGGGCGACAAGAAGCGCCGCAAGAGCAGGAAGGAGAGCTACTCCATCTACGTGTACAAAGTCCTCAAGCAGGTCCACCCCGACACCGGCATCTCGTCCAAGGCCATGGGGATCATGAACTCCTTCGTCAACGACATCTTCGAGCGCATCGCCGGGGAGGCCTCCCGCCTGGCCCATTACAACAAGCGCTCCACCATCACCTCCCGGGAGATCCAGACGGCGGTGCGTCTCCTGCTCCCCGGGGAGTTGGCGAAGCACGCCGTCTCCGAGGGCACCAAGGCCGTGACCAAGTACACGAGTTCCAAGTAAGCGGACTGTTGCTTCGCAAGAAGACCCGAGAATCCCCCAAAAGGCTCTTTTAAGAGCCACCCACTTTTTCCTAAAAGAAGCTGCAGTGACTCTTATCTTGATGCTTTACAAATAAAGTGACAGTGCTTAATGTTGGGGGTTTTGATCAAACATTGTGGTTTTATGGAAGGACGTTCCTTGAGTCCAGTTTTAGGACTTTACCTGAATAAAGCTAGAAACTCGATTTGATTTCAAGTTTTTCTTCTTCCCTCTTATGAAAATAGCCTCTTCATTGTAGAATTCTGTTTTAAACTTATTGCATGTGGCTTGCCTTTTAATTACAACAGGACAAAGATAGGTTTTTGCTTGCTAAAAAGGGAGTATCTTCCACCCTTCTCCGTTTTAAGTGAATAGCTGGGGAAAGCAATGAAATACAGGGCGATCTGTGTAGAGTTGCTCCACTCTCAGCCTTCTGAAGCCAGATCCTGCACAGAACTATGCTGATAGTGGGGGAGGAGGCTACAGAGCTCTTGGACTGTTAACTGGTATCATTCTCACTGGGTTCTCGAGACTATATTTAGGAATAGGCCACAGGGTAGGACTGCTGAGGTTTTGCAAAAAAGAAAAGAAAAAAAAAGACTGCATCTGTTGCCTATTTGTTACCTTTCATTGAACTGCACAGGTTTTGTTACAAACACGTATATTGAAGGTGGGGAAATGTACTGTATTGTCTCCATTCTCCAATATTGGACCAGAACAAAGTTTGAGTCCAGTGGTACCTTTAAGGCAACAAAGCTGGGGTTTTTTTTTTGGGGGGGTGGGTATAAGTTTCTGTGCGCACACTCACTTCTTCAGCAATACTCTCTCCCTAAACTGTGGAGTCTGGTGAGCAAAGATTCTACTTGGTGAGCTACTGGCATTTAAATTGTGAGCGAGCGATTTGGCTGCTGCATAAATTAGTTTGTTCTGGAGCCATCCTTCCTTAGCTAAGACAAAAATGTGTGAGAGGCTAAAAAACTGAGCTAGCTTACACTAACTCAGCTTAGAGGGGACACTGTTCTTATGCATCATGTATCTGAAGAAGTGTGCATGCACACAAAAGCTACCTAGAATTAAATTTTGTTGCTCATAAAGGTGCCCACTCCTAGAATAAAATTTTGTTGCTCATAAAGGTGCCCACTCGACTCCAAGTTTGTTCTATTGCTTCAGTCCAACATGGCTACCCACTTGAATCTAACATTGGGCTATTAACACTCTGGGTATATTATGCAGCAATCATAACCACGTGATCTCTATCAATTGTTCCTGAGAACATTTTTAAAAAATGTTCTGAAGGATAAAGAACTGGGGGGAGGAAGGCTTGGAAATCACAAATATATATATTTTTATGTGTACATCACAATGGTAAATTTCTGAGATGAGACATTGTGGGTTATGTGTTTACCCAGGACTTTAACTTCATCTGGAAGTTATGTGTTGAGTCCTGAATGGGCATGGGTGTGTTGTTTACTTTTGGAGACAAAATCCTGTTTTACGTACCTCAGAAGCAGGTGTGGGTTTTAGAGCCAAAATTCTAGAGGAGAGGAGATTGGATTTATACCCCACCCTTCACTCGGAGTCTCAGAGCGGCTTACTTTCCCCTTCTCACCCCACAACAGACACTCTGTGAGGTAGGTGGGGCTGAGAGAGCTCTTTCCAGAACTGTCCTTGAGAGAACAGCTCTGACAGAACTATGGTCACCCAGCAGCTGCAAGTGGAGGAGTGGGGAATCAAACCCAGTTCTCCCAAGATTAGAGTCCATGCACTTAACCACTACACCAAACTGGCTCTCAACTGAGTTCAAATTGAGTTTGCCATTTTTAGATGATTAGGTTTTTTAAAATCACCTTGTATCTGGTTCTTCTTAAAGACCTACAAACCCTTCCATTTTATTCCAACAACACCCCAGTAAGGTAGGCTTGGCTGTTAAGTGTGTGAATCCACCCCACCCGCTGAGTTTTGGCATTGAACAGGGATTTCAACCCAAGCCTTGCCAAAATCCAGCTCTATTAACTACCGTTCAGTGGTTCTGCAAACTCTGCTGTTTTTGAAAATCAAATACTTGAGCCCTTCCCCTGGAACCATGGTTGCACAAGTAGGTACTTGAGGTAAGGAATGGAGAACAGCCAAATAGTACCCTTCTGATTGTGAAACTCCTTCTGATTGTTTACCATAGAAAGGAACAGGTTTCAACTATTCAAAAGAGGCCCATGCTTTGTTTTGAGAGCAGCTGTGTTTTCTTTCAGAGATTAATCATTGCAACATTTCTATGCCAGATAATGAATATTGGCATTATCCATATACCTTTCTTAAAAGGATCCCCCCCCTCACTAGACAGTTGCATAACTGCCCCACTGGTGTTAAGATTCCAAGGGGTCGAAAGCTAAATAATTATACAGACTGTGGTCAGAATGCTTTAAACAGAAGGGTATTCTGAACTTTGGGGCTGAGTGCAATGAACCCAGGAAACTGCCTCATAACGAATCAGACCATCAAGGTCAGAATTGTCTCACCAGACTGACAGTTGCCGTGGCTTTCCAGGGTCCCAGGCGGAGGTCTTTCCCATCATGTATTGCCTAGTCTTTTTTTAACTGGAGATGCTGGGGATTGAACCTGAGACCTTTTGCGTGCCAAAGAGATGCTCTGCCACTGAGCCACAGTCCCTCCCCAGTGGGCTCAATCATTATCTTTAAGGAGTGAGTTCAAAAGAGACCGTTTTCCTAAATATATTGTTGTTTTACTACATTTAATACTTGTTCATTTATTTACTTTTTTGGATGTTTTCCTAGTCAAGATATTGTTGTTTTATTACATTTAATACTTGTTCATTTATTTACTTTTTACTTTTTTGGACTTGTATCCCCCCCCCCGCAAGGAGGCTTAGGGCAGGTTCCACCAATATTAATACAATTTACAGTAACAATTAAAAGCAACTTAAAACAACAAACTAAAAACAGTGCAAAAGTCACAAAAGTACCATGCAAGATCTGCATGATTATGTAGAAAAACAGCAAAGGGGGGGGGGGGAGAAGAGACCAGGCAGTTTTTGCAGCATTTGGCACGCACTTTATTATATGGTTGCAATCCCAATAGTGGTCATCTTTTAATTTTTGAACATGTTAATGCAGATCCAATGAAGAGTAAAAAATAACTGGATCCCAGGTCAAGTCCAGGGGCTGATAATCCCATGCTCCTAAGGCTTTTGCTGAATTGTTAGGGAACGTCTATCCTATCCCATTCATAGGGTTGCCAGCTCCAGGTTGGGAAATACCTGGAGAATTTGGGGGGGGGAGCCTGAGGAGGGGAGGGAAGGGGCTGCAATGGGGCATAATGCTACAGAGTTCATCTTCCACAGTGGCCATTTTCTCCAGGTGAACAGATCTCTATTACCTGGAGATCAGTTGTGATCCCAGGAGATCTCCAGTCACCACCTGGAGGTTGGCAGGCCCTAACTTAGCCGAACAAGGGGATTACACCAAGCATGGTTACTCTGAGAATGAAGAGATAAAACATTGCAGAAATGTGGAAGAGTAAACAAGGTGCACAACCCCCTCCCCCAAAAAAGGGGGGCCCCCTCCCCAGCCTAATAACAGGATAAATGTTAATGGGATACAATGTTAAATGAACAAAACTTTGATGCATTTATAAGTAATAAATAATTTAGAAACCCCATTAAAGCCAAATGCCTTTCAGCTACATGGCCTTCCTTAGTGATACAAATTATTAAGAAGAGATTGGATTTGTACCCCTCTTTTCACTACTAGGAGTCTCAGAGCGGCTTACAATCTTCTTTCCCTTCCCCTCCCCACAACAGACACCCTGGGAGGTAAGTGGGGCTGAGAGAGGTCTTTCGAGGACCGCCCTTGAGAGAGCAGCTCTGAGAGAACTTGTGTTCCCTCTAAGCTGAGTTAGTGCGAACTAGCTCGGTCTTTTAGCCTCTGTCTTGGCTCAGGATGCTTCCAGAGCAAACTCATTTATGCAGTAGCCAAATCGCTGGCTCACAACTTGAATGCCAGTATCTTACAAAGTAGAATTTTTGCTCACAAGAATCCACAGCTTAGAGGGGGCATTGCTTGTGACTGACCCAAGGTCACACCAGCATACTGCACGTGGAGTGTGGAATAAAACCTGGTTCTCCCAGATTAGAGTCCATGCTCCTAACTAGTACACCAAACGGGCTCTCAATATTAACACTGTTAATATAAACACTCTTAAAATTACATTTTTCTCCCTCGGCTTCCCCCTATTTCTTCTTTTTTCAGGTTTTAAATCTTAGGCCAGAAATGTTGTAATTGGAATATATATATATTTTTATTGGATGGTGTGTATAGTAAACAAGGCAGTAAAACAGATGCAGTTCAGAGTCCATTCACCCATTCAAAGAGGGGAGGGATAGGGTGACTATGTTTTTTTTAAGAAGGAGTCCAAAGTCTGCTGAGTCCTCGGTAGCCTCCCCATACTCCCAGTCACCTCCCTTGGATCTGATTAAACGAGTCATCCGGTAAACTTAATAAAATAAGACATATGATTTTGATTGGAAACCTGAAGCTTTTGAATAATAATTTTTAAAAAAACCCTCCCGCCCCAAATCAGGGGACACTAAATCAATGAGATACAAAAGCGAAACAAGAACAGCAGGTCCTTAATCAAAAGGGTGGTAAACCAAAGAGCTCAGGCTTGAAATCTGCCATAGACTGGAGCACGAGGGTCGCTCCCTTCGTGAGATCTTTGTCCAGGTTTTCGTCCGGGATCATGACCACTTGCATGCCGGCGGTCAGCGCCGCCTGGACCCCATTGGGGGCATCCTCGAAGACAAGGCACTTTTCCGGCCGGGGTGGCGGGTGGAATCTCCGGGCGCAGACTAGGAAGATGTCTGGCTGCGGCTTGCCGGCTTTCACTTCGGGGTCGTCCCCCAAGACGATGTGATGGAACAAGCGGAAGAAGTCCTTGTGGCGCGTGGTTTTCATTTCGAAGCTGGCTCGGGACGAGCTGGTGGCCACCGCGATGGGGACCTGGTGACGGTGCAGGTGACGGACGAGTCTGTCGACGCCCGGCATCAAGGCGGCGGTGGGGAAGAGTTTCTCATGCAGGATTTTGCTTTCGCGCAATAGCTCTTCTTTGGTGATCGGGAGATCCAGGGCCTCTCGGATGATCTCTGCTCCCTCCAGGGCTTTTGTGCCCATGGCTAAGGATTTCACATCCCAGGTGTAAGTCTTACCGAAGCGCTGGCAGATTTCTTGGTAGCCGATCGTATAAAGCCGTTCCGTATCCAAGAGCAGGCCGTCCATGTCAAAGACCAGGTGAGTGACGGCTTGGGAAGAAGGGGGGCTACCGGGAGACGAGGCCATGGCACTGGGATAAGCAGCTTCCCAAGAATAGGAGGGCAGTTCCTTGGCCACCGCCGGCCCTTCCTTACCCCACTGAGAAAAAATGAGCTACAGACGTTACCGGAACAGGAAGTTCAATAGCCTTTATTTAGCTTGGTGGAAAACAACCGCAGTTCGCAGCGCCCAAACCTTGCAAGACGCAAAGGTCACTTTTTCTACGCAGACTCAAGGACAAAATGGAAAGGCGCCAAAATGTCGAGTTTGAAACACTGATAGCTGATTGGTCACTTTGAAACATCTCCGTTGCTGATTGGCCGGATCGCTGAACAACCCCCGCTGTGTATGCAAAATGAGCAGCCTTGACGGCTCAGTTCTCACTGTGGTCGGGCAAAGGGCAATATAAGCCCACGTTGCCGCACTCTGGAATCATTTCGGTGCTGTTGGAAAGTCTGTTGTGAAGATGTCTGGGCGCGGCAAGGGCGGTAAGGGTCTTGGCAAAGGCGGCGCTAAACGCCACCGTAAAGTTCTGCGCGATAACATCCAGGGCATCACCAAGCCGGCTATCCGCCGCTTGGCTCGACGTGGGGGTGTGAAGCGTATCTCCGGGCTGATCTACGAGGAGACTCGCGGGGTGCTCAAAGTTTTCCTGGAGAACGTCATCCGGGATGCCGTCACCTACACCGAGCACGCCAAGAGGAAGACCGTGACCGCCATGGATGTGGTCTACGCTCTGAAACGCCAGGGCCGCACTCTCTACGGCTTCGGGGGTTAAACCCTTAATTCGTACAAAGCGCAAGAGCGACAACAAGATCTAAAAGGCCCTTTTAAGGGCCACCCACTTTCTCAATAAAAGAGCTGTCGTTATTGTTTTATAACAACACTTGAGTGAATCATTTCCGTTCTCTGAAATAGTGAGCCGTGCCTCATGGAAGCTCATCCCCTGCCACGAATTGTGCTAGTCTTTTAACTCTTGTTCTTTTCTACTTCTGCAAGCAGCTTGATTGTGCTGATTTGTCGGCGAAATAATTTCACCTAAATTTTTGGCCCTCCGCGGACACAATCAAATGTTACCTTTCTCTTTAATTTAGAAGGAAACAATGGGTTTAGTCTTGCGTTGGATATTGGTACGTTTAACAAACCTAGTTCCAAAAACGCCTAGAAGAGCTGCATTCCAGGACGAAGAAATTTAATTTCCGTTCCTTGTATTATTAGCTGCTTAACTTTCCCCAGAACAAAGTTCGAGTCCAGTGGCGCCTTTTAAGACGGACAAAGTTTTATTCAAAGTATAAGCTGTCGTTGTGCAAAACACACTTCGTCCCGATAGCCTTTGTCCTCGAGTCCTTTGTTCGCCTCCCTCTGATCTGATTGGCTGCAGCCAGTGAAGTCACACAAAGGAGTTGAGCGTTTCAGTCCTGCCGCGGGCGTCGTTCCAGCTCGCAGAGACGCGAGGCATCGTGGGGGCGGTAGCCTTCCTGCCATTCGGTGGCAGCATCTCCGTGGCTTCAGAGGAGGAAAATGAATGCTGAATTGTTGTGTCATTATCCCGGAGTCATCTGGGTACGTACGATATGTACCTAAATATTAATCATTAATTACATTTTCATTCATTTAAATCATTTGTGCTCGCCCTTGGAGGGGCTCCCTTGGAGTTGCAGCTCATTTCCCGACTGCAGAGATCAGTCCCCCTGAACAAAACGGATGCTTTGGAGGGTGGCCCTCTATGGCATTGCACCCCACTGAGGTCCCTTTCCTCCCCAGGTTCTATCCCCAAATCGCCAGGAGTTTCCCAGCCTGGATCTGGCAACCCTTTCAGATAGGGGGGATCCCCTGCTGGTGGCCAGAGGAGACCTGGCAACCCTAAATTGGGGACCCAAAGCTGCTGACCTCGCTCTCCTCTCCTCCATTTGATCCTCACAGCAACCCTGAGAGGTAGGCTTGGCTGCGTCTTTTGTGACTGGCCCAGGTTCGCCCGGCAGGCTTGCAAGGCAGAGTGGGGAGTCGAACCTGGGTCTCCCAAATACTAGCCCGACACTCTTGACCACTACACCACACTGGCTCTGTTTTGGCTTTGTATGTGAGACTTAGCGCTGTACCGTTAACTCAGGGGGTGGCCAAACGTGCTTAACATCAGAGCCACATAGAATAAACATCAGATGCTTGAGAGCCGCAAGACATAGACAAATATCACACGCACGTTTTTATTGAAAAAATACGCAAATTTGCTTTTTATTAACATTAAAGGAGGCTGCCAAAAATAAAAAACAGATATTGATAATGATATTTATTTGTCCAATGATATGTGTAGGCTTGAGCGGGGGACTTTGAGAACACATTTATTTACTTATTATTTATTTAATAATAGTTTATTATTTATTTAATAATTTATTTAAAGTTGCTCTCTTTCTCTGCTCCCCCCTCCCCCCCGCTTCAAGCTTACCCAGGGAGGGGAGCACTGGCTGGGGAGGGGAAGACCGACCGGGGAGAGATGCCCTCCCCTTCGCTTCCCCAGCTGCCCTGCCGGGAGTCACACAATACGTGTGGAAGAGCCCTGTGTGGCTCCTGAGCCGCAGTTTGGCCACCCCTGCGTTAACTGAAGGACTGTCATTCATTGCAGTCTTCAAGTATCTGAAGGGCTGTCATGTGGAAGATGGAGCGGATCTATTCTCTCTTGCTCCGGATTGCAAGACTAGATCTAATGGGTGGAAATTACAAGGGAGTCTAAATATCAGGAGAGACTTCCTGACTGTAAGAGAGGTTGAGAAGTGGAACAGGCTGCCCCTGGAGGTGGTGGATGCTCCTTTGCTGGACGTTTTCAAGCGGAGGCTGGACGACCATCTTTCAGGTATGTTGTAGGTATGTAGGGCTGTCTTTCAGCTATGCTCCTGCAGAGTGCAGGGGGCTGGACTAGATGACCTGCAAGGTCCCTTCCAACTCTAACATTCTATGATATGATACTGTAGCCTGGCACTTGCCACCACCCAAGTGCAAAAATATCACTCACTGTATAGATACATTAGTAAACAGACAGAAGAGAGGGTTAACACAGGAACATAAAACCCCAGTTGTCATCTTTGCACTGTGCCTCAAGCAAGCAGATGTATCTGGTTGGATACAGTGAAGTCCTTTTGTGCAATAGTGTATCTCTAAGTTGTGGAAGTAAAATAACCAGTGTGATGTTGTGGGAGACCCAGGTTCAAACCCCTGTTCGTGCCATGGAAGCTCATTGGGTGACCTTGGGCCAGTCACACTCTCAGCCCAACCAACCTCACAGGGTTGTTGTGAGGATAAAATGGAGGAGAGAAGAATGATGTAAGCTGCTTTGGGTCCCCACTTGGGGAGAAGAGGTGGGGTAAAGGTAAAGGTTCCCTTGCTCGAAAGCCAGTCGAGTCCGACTCCAGGGTTGCAGTGCTCATCTCCGTTTCAAAGCCGAAGAGCCAGCGCTGTCTGAAGACGTTTCCGTGGTCCTTGTGGCCGGCATGACTAAACACCAAGGCGCACGGAATGCTGTGACCTTCCCACCAAAGTGGTACCTATTTATCTACTTGCAATTTCTTGCTTTCGAACTGCTAGGTTGGCAGGAGCTGGAACTAGAGACGGGAGCTCACTCCGTCATGCGGCACACTCGG